GTACGAGGGTTTGTGCTGCCGGTAAATAAGAAAAATAGTGCCTCGAAAAAAAAAAAAAATGGTTGGCACACACAGCTAAGTTGAATATGACTTCAGGTACTCTGGGAACCTGACGGTTCGACCTGATCGTGTTTTTTGTTGCGCCGCTGGTTGTTGCAGCTGTGCATTACCAGGCACATCGTCGAGAATTTCGATAATTGAGTCATCCGTCGGTCGGATGTAGCGAGCTGAAACGTCACTTACAATGGGGTTGCCTTCGAAATAAGCTGGTTTCAAACGGTCGATACTGACAGTATCTTCGTCCGTCTCGCTCAATTACATAGAATTTCTCATGTCGCTTAATCACTTTGAACGGCCCGTCGTAGGGTGGTTCAAGTGGTCGACGAACAGCGTCGTGGCGAACAAACACGTGTGATGTCTTCTGTAAACTGGGGTGGACGAAAACATCAGTCGTTTGCGGTCTAATCGGAGAAGGCCTAACTGAACGCATTGCGTTTGTAAGCCTAGTCACGTAAGATGCCCTGTCGGAAACATGTTTGAAAGTTGAAGGGGAAACAAACTCACCTGGTAGGCGAAGAGTGGTCCCATAGACGAGTTCTGCAGGAGTGCATCCAGCATCAACTTTCAACGCGTTACGAATACCTAGTAGGACTAGAGGCAGAGCCTCGGTCCACTGAGGTATGTTTGTAGCTGAAAGGGAAGCTTTCAGCTGTCGATGGAAACGCTCTACCATGCCATTTGCTTGTGGATGGTAGGCTGTCGTTCGGAACCGAGTGCAACCTAAAAGTGCCGTTAGAGCGTGAAATAGTCCGCACTCAAATTGGCGCCCACGGTCGGTTGTGACGTAGGATGGACATCCGAAGTTCGCGATCCATCTTTCGACGAAAACACGAGCAACTGTTTCGGCAGTAATATCTTTAATGGGTACTGCTTCCGGCCATCGTGTGAAACGATCAACACAGGTGAAAAGGTAGGTACATCCATTAGATTCTGGTAGGGGTCCTACAATATCTATATGGACGTGGTCGAAACGCATGTCTGGGGCTAGAAATGAGCCTAAAGGGCTTTTCGTGTGTCGCGTGACTTTACACTTTTGACAAGCTAAGCACGACTTAACGTCTTTGTTCATCCCAGGCCAGCAGAAACGTTGTGCGATAAGCCTAATGGTGGCTCGTACACCTGGATGAGAGAGTTTGTGCAACGTATTGAAGACGTTGCGTCGACAACTCTTCGGAACTATTGGGCGTGGTTGACTAGCAGAGACATCGCACAAAATTGCATCCTTGTCTGATCCAACAGGACAAAGTCGCAGTTTGAGAGTTGTGGACGACAACTCATGATGCAGCTCAAGGTCTTCCTTTTGACGCCGAGCTAGTTCAACGAGATCAATACCCTCGATATAGTTTATCGAAGCTATTCGAGATAGTGCGTCGGCTGCGGAGTTGTTTGCTCCAGAAATGTGGCGGATGTCTGACGTGAACTGGGAAATGTAATCCAGCTGTCGCGACTCACGAGGGGAGTATTTGTCAGACGCCGAGCTGAGGGAAAACGTTAACGGTTTGTGGTCTGTGAAAATAATGAAATCACGACCTTCCACAGAATGTCGAAAATGGCGTACAGAACAGTACATGGCTAGGAGTTCCCTACCAAATGTACTGTATCTTGTTTCCGCGTCTTGCAGCCGCCTCGAGAAAAAGGCTAACGGTTGCCACTGGTTGTCAGTCAACTGTTGCAAAACTGCTCCAATTGCTGAATCAGATGCATCAACAGCAATACTCAGAGGAGCATTGGGGTCATGATGCATAAGCATGGTTGCGTTCGAAATGGCTTCCTTGACTTTGGAGAAAGCAAGTCTAGCCGCGTTGTCCAGAGACACGAACTTCGCAGTTCCTCGAAGTAGATCTGTGAGTGGTCTCATGACAGAGGCACAGTTAGGGATAAACCTTCGGTAATAACTTACCAGGCCATTGAAAGTGCGGAGATGTTTCACAGTGGTCGGCTCTGGATAGTTTGTGATAGCCGCCACTTTATCTCTCAATGGGCGTATACCTTTGTTGTCAATGGTATGCCCAAGGAAGCTGAGTGATTCAACTCCTATTTCACACTTCTGTAAGTTAACTGTGATGCCATGTTTTTTGAGTCTTTCGAATGCGAGGTCCAAATGTTTAAGGTGTGTTTCCTTATCTGGACTCGCAATTAGACAGTCATCGATGTAGACATGAACAAAATTCAGACCACGGAAGACGTCGTCCATAAAGCGTTGGAATGTTTGTGCTGCATTCCGAAGACCAAAAGGCATGCGCAGGAATTCAAACAGGCCAAAAGGAGTAATAATGGCTGTTTTCGCGATATCTTCTGCTGCCATAGGTATCTGGTTGTACGCTTTGACTAAGTCGATTTTCGAGAAAATGTTCATGCCGCATAAGGTTGCGGTCAAGTCGTAAACGTGGGTATAGGGTAGCAGTCCGGAGTTGTTTTGGCGTTAAGCCTTCGGTAATCACCGGTCGGACGCCAGTCGTTGCTATCCTTTTTGGGCACCATGTGCAATGGCGATGCCCAAGGACTGTTTGACGGTCTGATAATGCCCAGTTCGAGCATATGGTCGAATTCATTTTTCGCCGTTTGCAGCTTATCGGGGGCTAAACGGCGAGCTTTGGATGCCACAGGTGGACCTGTGGTTGTGACGTGATGCATAACATTGCTGGTTATGCACGGAAGAGTGTGTTTCGGTTGTTGTAACTCTGGATATTTCTCCAGAACTGCCTGGTAGGACGCGTCGCCTGATTGTTTAGTCCTAACGATGGCTAAACTCGGACCTACATAGGTGGTGCCGCCAATAGATAACTTTGTGTTGTTATCTATCAGTCGTCGACGGCGAGCATCTACGAGTAGATCGTAATGGTTCAGCAAATCTATGCCAATGATGGGCATAGAGACGTCTGCCAGGAGGAAATCCAGTGAATAGGTTTGCGTAAACCTAAGTTGAGGTAGGCATACCGTCTCCCGAATGTCGCGATTGCCTTGCCGTTGGCTGCTTGAAGATTGAAGGATGGGTCGAGATGACGCTCCTTTGTCGTTGCTGGAAGAACGCTAACTTCTGCGCCGGTGTCGACGAGGTAGCGGACTTTCGTTTTAATGTCGGTGACGTAGAGCAAACGGCTTTTTCCGCCGGCTACGGTTGCCGTGAGCACGTGCCGGCGTGACCGTTTCCCGAGTTTGTGTCCTTCTTAAAACGGCATGGTTTACGACATTTTCTGGCTTCATCCCCGTAAGTGTTATGAAACCAGCACCATTCAGGGTTTTCCACCCTGTTGGGTTTCGTTTTAGGGCTACCACGCGACTTGCTGCGATGCGCCAAGGTGCGTTTCTGTGAAGTGCTACGTGATCTAGGACTTCGAGATCGTAGCAACCGTTTCACAGAGTTGCACAACTTGGTCACCTCCGAATCCTGGCGCTCTGTTTTGTCGCAGATAGAATATACGTTGGAGACGGGTCTGCTGGATATCTCCAGTATTTTATCTGCTGAGCTGCCAGGTCGTCGAGTGGGACTGACTGGAGTGTCACCAACACGGTTTGCACCGGTTGTGGTAGTTTCGAGAGAAATAGTTCTCGGAAGAAACCATCGTCAAATGTTCGTGCACCGATTACTTCTCGCATGCGTGCGAGGACTTCAGTAGCTGAGTGGCTGCCTAGCTCGATGTTACGAAGCAATTCGTCTAGACGTTGGCGATCTGTGAGATCGCTTTTCTTCAAGAGTGCAGCCTTTAGAAGTGCATAAGGGTCACTTACTTCAGGATTAAACATGTTTGCTGTAACATACCTGTTTAATTCTCGCGGTAGTGAACGTATGACAGCAAGAAATCGAGATGAGGATCTGAGACACCCTGTTCTCGAAAATCGGCCTCGGCATACAGAAACCATGTTTCTGCATTGTCTGGCCAATATGGCACGAGTTGGATCGTGTTCGAGTCGGCTTAATACGAATAAGCTTGGGAGTGTGGTCGGACATGAGAAAGTGTAGTAAATGGATATATAAATGTTATCGAAATGAAAACAATAAACAAATATAAAATGGAACAGGCTCACCAATTCAATACTTGTTATTGGTCGGGATATGTGATCACGTCGGGCTCACCAATTTAGGATTTGTCCTGGTGCGAACTTGACAGACGCAAAGACCAATCACTAATTATTCGAACTTGTTATATACCCACGAATACGAGACCAAGGAAGAACACGATAGCGTAGTCGGATGGAATAGTATATTTGGATGGTTATGCCAAAATACCGATGCGTTCCAACTAACTGGCTAGAGAGTCGAATACGAGCAATGCAACGTAACACGACAGCGTGCCAAATGGCGAGGATGCTTGACCGGGTGCCTTCAGCTTAGCGAGTCCAGTTAAACTATCAAGGTCAGCATCAATGTCGAAGTCGTCAAACCCTAGGCTATTGATTTTGGGGAAGTGTATGACGCTACAACGTGATCTGAGGCTCACTAAGCACATCAAGATGCACTTAATCTCAAGTTAATGACTCTAATGGCCACCTTAGGAACGAGTGAACCTACTAATTAGTTCTCATCATTTCAGCATCACCTGGAGTAACTCCTCTCAGCTGGCTCCCAGAGTTAAAGGTCGTGCTCAAAATAGTTTGGTGGACTCTACACATAGTTGGCTGCTGCGCGGCTACTTCATAAGTGGACGTTACGGCATGTACTGTAACGTATTCGAAATCTTACCCATTCACCTTTCACTTTTGCTTTCTAGACTGACTCACCTCTTCGTTGTCAAGCTCTACCGGTTGCCAGTTATCTTTTATTAATAAACGTCAGTACATCGTGTGTACTCTCTGAGTCATTGGCTCACGTTTTTCTCTTCCTCTTTTCCATTCCAGATTCTCGTGGTCACCACTAAACCCACACTACTCTACGCTCCCCATTGAAACAAAGTACCTACCTACAGGCTAGACAGAAACGTATCAACAGCTAGTCTTTACATATGACACACTCTGGATTTAGAATCCAACCAGACTGGGATAAAGCATTGAGGTAACTTTACTTATCTATCCTTGAGACAATAGTGAAAACTCAAAGTACATATGGTTTCATCAGTACGATAGCGGTAAATCGGTGCTGTTATTATTTTGTTAGTGTCTACCAAGTATCACAAGTTGGAGTACCGAGGTGGCTCTTTGGTACCTGAAAATAAGGAGGTCGCATGCAATTTGGTTTCACAGGTATCATCAGATTATTTAACGATCAATGTGTAGAACCTGTTGCACCTATCATCACAAAATCCCAAGGTTAATAAGTTTTTTCAGTCCCCAGATTCCTCGTATGATCTTTTGAATTCTACAGCAAAAAATGTATGTTCTAGTTTCTTATTAGCCTAACATCAGCCTCGTTCACACTTATCATCCTTTGATGTTAGTCCTAGTGGTGAGTTATTCATTGCTTCTTTCAGTGGACCGTCGCTAAAACTATATGAGTCTCATACCGGGATTGTTCGAGTGAGTGGATCTTTTAGTATTGATGTAATATGTATAAATATGCTTTTTGTTGTGTATGAAAATTATGCGAATGAAGCCCAGTTTGAATCAATAAACATTATCTTTTGCTCAAATAATATATGAAATCTTTGTGAGACTTTAAGATAACCAGTGACTTATTCTATAACGTCACTATTTAAAGTATTGTTGCCTTCAGCTTTCTTAGTGATAGGTATTCGAAACCGTCACAGTAATTGTTCTTTTGCGTACTAAAACTGACTAGATATGCATTTAGGGTATTCATGGCGGCTTAACTGGATGTTAAAGCTGTGAAATTTTATCATTCATATGCAGTGAAGCCATATGCTACAACGTCAATTACCTTTAGAGGTGTGGTGCATTGGTGTGTACACCTGTTCACCGAGTTACGTTCCAGAACCCAGATGATGTTGTTTACTGATCTCTTCCACTAAAGACAACGGAAAAGCAACTGATCTCTGAAATTATGAAATGATTGTCGGGTTTTGTAACTTAGTGATTAAGTTAGGTTAACAATATCGTCTGACAGTGTCTACTGCAGATTTGGCTATACGAGTGGGTGGTACTTTAGCTTTACCTAATGTAAAATGAGCAGACATTCATAATTGTTCTGTCTGTCTGATACTAGCATTACGAGTGACTAAAAAAAGCACAAGACAAACAAATATTAAAATTTGTGTTCTCAAGTGAGAAAGTTGTAAGAGGTTTAACAGTGGTATCAGGAAAGGGAGATAGGTGGAGCAAAAAAGAATATAAAAGTTATGATTGGTTGAATTTTGTATACTAATGGAAGTGTATGCATGGTTGCTACTACCTGGCTGTACACGCCGTGTAAGTTGTATCTAGAAGGAAAAGGGAGTAGTTTTACGTGATCACAGACCACACCGAATGTCTGCTAGAGGTTGATCTTACACGTGTTGAATCCACATTCGATTGTACTTACGTCGGCCAAAAGGAAAATCGTACTGCCGGTAATGCGACAGTGTGACAGAGGAATATTCCGAATTCCGAACTGACCCTTAATAGCCCCTCTTTCTATTGAAAAATTACCAGCATAGACAGTTGACCATCCGCGGGAAACATTTCTACGGCCACACTCCATCGAGATAGTAGTATAACTTCACCCTATGACACCATCATAGCGTAGTTGTTTTCACTGCGAAGATGACGTTAAGATCTCATGGAACAAGCATTCCAGTCAGCGTAGTTCGTTGGGTCATTGTGATATCAAGTCCGACCGCTACGTCAAGACTTGCAATTTTAACATCTTCAGTTTTTTCAGAAGTCCATGTGTGTTGCATCTAACGGCAAACTTCGTTCATTTGTCGCAAAAGCCATGAATAACTACTTTTTGGTATGTTACGTGACATCCTTTGCTGGTATGTTACATAGGCTGATTAAAGAACGATTTATGAATAAAGTAGTAGACAAGAACTTGTCTAAAGTATGAAAGGGTGGTGATCCATCGTCTTACTGATGCCTCATTCAGTCACTTTCCCACCCATACTACCAGATTTGAACATGTTTACAATGGTATTGTTTTGCCTCTACAACCTTCCTCAAATGGTTTTCACCATATTTATTCAGGTTCTGTTCTTATTTTGGATTGTAATTTAATATCAGCACGAAGCTTAGGATTTGGTTACTATTACTCACAACTTAAGCAGTATGCGAAGTGAAACAGTGACTTTCAAGAAATGCGTATCATATTCGAACTGCACTTCACCTGCTTTGGTGTGGGTAAGTGTAGCTTATGGCCTGGACAATAAACAAATCTATCGGATTGACCAGGTTGGTATTCATCATGGACCAACATCAGTTGGAAGAACATCCGGAACCTGGGAGTACTGAACAGCTGTTTCATCCTAGTATGGGACACCTCAGTAGTGTGCGCCCATGAGCTCAAACCCAGGCGAGCACTTTACCATTCAGCCACTGGGTCAGAATCTAGTGGTCCACATTCCCAACTTCTGTCAGTTCACGACATAGCGCGATCATCACGCAATGTCATCGTTGAATATTTGTCTTCACGTCCGCCAAGTTTGCCCCACCAGTCATATCGTCTCGTTGGAACTTCAGGAATCACCTCTCGAAACTAGTCACCAATGAGCACTTGTGCCCCTAGGTTTTCAGCGTTCCTACAACTGATGTCAGTCCATGATGAATACCAACTTGAAATCAATAAATCCCCAAAAACTCTCAAATTCTATTGGATTGAGTTGGACCTCCATATTAGGGTTTCTTGGTGCTCATTTTGTCCAAAAGAAAGTAATACAATGATTCTCACTGCTGTGTAATTTCATAACCATGAATCAGAGTTTATTAGCTGAGTTTTCATTATGATTATTGTACTTAATTTCCGTTTTATCTCTAGCGATCTCTTGAAGGACATGTCGGCGATATATGTACATCTAAATTCTTCCCCTCAGGTCTAGTCGCACTTACAGCTGGTAGTGATATGCAATTGAAAATTTGGTGTCTTGTTACCGGTCAGTGTGCAGCTACTCTAGCTCCAAGATATGCTGGTGCAGTGACGGGAGTTGATTATGGTGGTAAAAATGAACCAGGAGGTCATAGAGCTGGAATTTCGGACACTGCAATCATTGATCGTGGTCGTAATATTGCTTCTATAGACAAATTAGGATGGTTAAGACTGTGGGATGTAGCTACGCAAGTAAGCCAATTGATTTTAAATGCTTATGAGTTAATAGTTTCCCTCCCTTCAATCCACGTAATCTTTTATTTTATTTTACAAGCTAAAAACACTTGAAGAATCCATGAATAATTTCTTCAAGGATTGTTGATAATAGTTGCCAGATTCATAGTGTCTATGGTTCTGTATGTGTGTATGATAAAAAAAGGACAATAGTAATATAAGACCTGCTATAGCTTCTTATCTCTCCAAGTTTTCAAGTTTCCAATCGGCTAGTTGAAATTTAGAGTTATGCATGGAAAATAGGAAGAAGTTACTTCGGTGGTACCAGCAAAGATAAGAGTAGAAAAGGTAAAGGAAAAAAAGAGGTAAAAGAGATTGAGACACATTGCACTAGTAAATTTATTACTTTTTGTGGCATAAACATGTTAAATACTTGAGACATGCTTCATGTGTGGTGGAGAAATCTTATCTAAATGATTCTTCAGAATTCAAGAATAACGGATTACTTGAATTTGCTTACAAACTTGTACTTGGTTTTCAAAGAACCTACTTGTGAGAAAGTAGTAGTTACATTAGATACGCAGATGACATTGTCCTGTTAGATAAATGTGCTGATAAGATCTAGAGTCTTCTGGAAAGATTGACTGGTAATTAGATAATGTTTGCTTGCGTTTCTCACCTCCAAAATGAGAATTGTTGCCCCAGGACTCATCTGCCTTGGTGCTGTATCTAACAATAAGATATGAAGCGGTTAAGCGTGTTGGCTACTTCACTTATCTGGAAAGTCGGATCAACCGTGGTGGGAGGTCAGTGGCCGACGAAATCTCTGCACAGATAAAAAGGACTGGATTAGCCTTCTCCAACTTACTCCAAGTGAGACCACCGCAATATTCGATTGCCTAATAAGGGTCGAGTGTTTTGCTCTGCAGTCCTTCCTGTTCTACTATGTTGTTGTGAAGTATGACCATTAAAGGCGAAGAATATGAGAAGGCTTCAGGTGTTTGACCACAGTTGCCTTTGAAGCATAGTCCGTGGTTAACGCGGAAATCAGCTGATAAGGTCATGAACTCTCATCGACTGAGATGGCCGAGATACATGTAATGCATGACTATTAGCAGTCTGTCTCGTCACGAAATGTTAGTTGAGGAAGATTCAGGCTAAAAAAAAGGCTAGAGACTGTCAGATTAAAATATGGCATTACTACATGAAGTCCTTCACTTTTGGCTTGAGCTATGCTGGGAGATGCAGACTAGTCGGTTGGGCTCTCTGTGACAACAGAAACCAGTAGTTGGAGGCTCTTGGGTGATATGACTCAGAAACGATGTTGGTAGCAATATATCCACACTCTATCCTCATCTTAACTGTTATGCTAAATTCAGCATTTTTTCATTCCTCCCTCTCTTTTACTGCTTTTAGTCAATTTTTCTTACTTTCTTCATCTTTTATGTTACTACTTTGTCACTTGTGCTGATATGAGGTGTGATAACTTGGACCGTTAGGCATTAAATCCTGATCATATATTGGTATTGATTATATTCCGACTGAGAGTGTTTTTTTTTGTGAATGCGAGTACTGGGTGATAAAACAAGAAAGATTAAATATTGAAAGTGAATGGGAGCAGACACTTGCAAACGATAGCATCTGAATGACTGGCTAAGATGAACGTAGAGCCTCGCACATAAGTGCATCAGCTAAAGTTGCCACACTCCACAGTAGCACACAAAGAAGTGAACAGTAGGAGAGTGACATCAAAGTAGACAAAGTTATGTGAGAGAATAAACAATTTGGAAGATAACAGTTAGTGCAAGTATTCAAGCTTTAAAAGAAGTCACGGAGTGAATACATCTGTACCATTGTGACTGACCTTCAGCCATGCCACCAGGGATTCTCAACCACTGATTCCTGTCGTCCCGTGGACCCCAACCAGGCAGTCTACATCTCTCCCCACCACTCCGATCAACAGTAAACGACTTCATAGACTAGTCATTCTGGACCCTCTTCCAACCTAATCCACCTTCCCGTCGCATGGCACGTTGAGGTAAGCAGTAGCTCGGAATACGCAGTACATGTCCAAGCCATCTCTGTCGACTAAGATTCACAACCTTTTCCGTCGACACTGCTCGCATGATGATTCCATCAAACGAAAGCAGTGCTACAAAGAGACGTGTGATCATAACCTAATAATTGCTTCATGTCATCTACTATTAACAGCCTTGTCTCACAGCCATACAACAGAATGGAGGTGACTGCAGTGCACTGTACTCATCGTTTGATAGATAGCAACATGATACTTTGGTAATCGGTGTGTAACTGAAGACGTATATACTAAGGAGAATGCACGGAATAGCAGTGTCTGGACTACCAACCAGTTGGGAGAAATTAAAAACATCACAGTCTGGAGTAAGTATTAACTGAATTAAACGGCTACAAGTTACTTGCGAGTAAACGTCGTTACGTACTTTCTTCTGATATCTTGTCTGTAAATGATGTTTCAATGGTAAATTTATTTAGTTTGTTAGTTTTGAAGTAATAATAACTCGTTAATTCTGTGTTAAATAGGCACAAACGAAATGGTATGGACGTTTTGGATTCCATTGTCAAGTTTAGTCATAGGTATCATTGAAGCACAGAGCCCATTTGTCAACAGTAAGTGACCAATGTAGTCCAATAGTACGAGTATCGAAATGCCAATAGTCACGAGGGAGAGAATGTTATCGTCATTTGTTCCAAAATATGGATCTCGGTAACCGTGTTTCTCAAGCGTGATAGTAGTGCTGTGATTGTACCATACTGGGATCAACGTAACAGTAGTGGGTGGGTTGAATAGATTACTTTGCCCACCACTGCAGTAGATACCGACTCCTAACGAATGATAACAGCCTCGTAATGTTAAGTAGAGAGAATATTTTAACAAAAAACCGTCGGTCATGCTGACTGTAAACTAGACCTTTATTCACACAAAATATCTGTAACCAACAAGTGGCTGTCGTGTCTCAGTGGATAACGCTTTGGCGCTTGAAGTGATGCGTACTGGGTTCGAGTCGCAATGGGAACGACATCACTCGCTGAGACGCAGGTACATCCAGCTGACGAGTCCTAAATAAAACGAAAACCACCTCTTGGATTCCACCAAGATGAATATAACAACATATCTATAACCAAGGTGATAGAAGTACAGTCTAATCATTCAGATGACAAGTAGTTAGCTAAAGAATCAAAAAAGACAGTCAATGACTTTTTACGAAGTTTTATCGCGTTCACAGTGTACATGAAAGTTATTAACTTAGGGTTTGAACATTCGAATAACGGGTATGAGGTTCAAATCGCATTCAGCCTAGGAAACCGGGTAGTAACTACTATGCTAAGTTAGGTTACTTACATTTATGTAGTATTTCCGTCCATATCTGACAAAATCTTAATAAAAAGAAGGCATCTTGGTTCATACGTCTTGCATGTCTTACATTTTCAGACTTGTATATCAGGTATCCCAGTAACACCTGGTGCTCTTGATGTGCGTACTGCCTCATCAGTTGTTTTAGAAGAAGTTACATGCTTAGCCATCCGAAAACATCCAAGTTTACCGATTCAATCAACTGGTCTACAAGATCCATGGTATGAAGGTAAGTACCGTTTACTTTGTTGTTTTAGAGTATAAAAGCAAAAGTAACAAAACAGTCTGGCTCGATAAGAGTCAACCACTAGTTTTTGACAAGAAAAATATAAGTTTGTCCAACTGACTAACATTAAGATAGGCTAGTTCTGGGACAGAATATGTAATGAAATCTAGCTCAACGGCTAAATAAAGTCTTTAAACTTGCTCGACAGTGACGATAATACTATTGAAGTAACCTAGGAACAGTAAAATCCATCTTACGACTGAATTGACCATGTGACCAATTTTTCGATAAATTGACCAGTGAATTTGAACAAAAATTGCTTCGTACCTATTGGGATTTGACTTTCATTGTCATCATATAACTCAACTCGATACAGGACTGTGTACTAGGCTGAACCATGCTTTATTTTTTGTGGGCTTATAATATAATCCGGTGAGATTTAGACCTGGTATATTATCAGAAAGTCAATTCTTCAGACCAGAGTTTCTACCTTGGATTATTTTAGTACATTACCTTGTTCTGAATAATGGTAGGTTAGTTCACTGATTACTGAACATCTATGTGCCATCACCTTGCTCCAATTCGTTAGACTATACCTGCTAAAAAGCAGAGCCTTTCGAATGAAATTGCATCTAGTCGATACAATTTGTTACTTCAGACCTTATTTATTTATCCAAGCAGATTATATAGAACTTAAATAGTTGGTGTGGACCAGGCTTGTTGGAACGGGAAACTGTCTTGGAAGAATTAAAACATTCGGAACTTCAATATCCAAGTATTCTTTGTTTTGAAGCGGTTTTTTTTAACTGAATGAATACTGGTTGATTGTTACCATATGACCGTGGTTACAATTATTAGTGTTATTGCACTCAAGTTATGATTCCTCAAAACTTGGATGAAAAAGTTGACACTGTGACTAATTATACAGTTAAAAGAGAGTAAAATGTTGCTGATGCCCAAAAAATGCAACTAGTCAGGCCTGTGTCAACACAAGATCACTGCTTAACAACTTGTCACCTTTGCTTAGAACACTGAGCTAACAAAGTATGCTTGCTGGAACAACTGTTCCTACTAAAATTAGCGGCTGCCATTGGGTAGGCTTCTCGTACGAAAGTCACACTGCTGGCCTTGCGGTGTTTGACGATAATAATTTGTTTCCCCTTCTTCTACTGAAAGAAGTAATCAACCCTAGAAATATCGTATTCATTGTTACTGATAACGAATTTGTCTTCTACACAAAGTATCTAGAAATTGTTGGAAGGCCCCAGTTTGCGTAAAACATTATTATTGATCTGAACATTTTAACTTATCATTCCCACACCATTTTTAATGGTATGACTAGTAGTTTATTTTCCGCCCCCTTGTGATGTAATTCGCTAATTAGTCGATCTTTACTCTTACTATGCAAATGTCTCAAATTGCGGGCAAGGTCATATTTCATGTATATACATATTCACGTGTTTCGGATTGATTATACTTAGAGGAATAAACTCTCCCATCATCCAGCTTCGGTTTTCTTTTTATTCGTCCCGGGTTGCAGTCGGTGGCTATTGCGTGCGAAGTTAGCTGTCAGTTAAGCGTGCATATTATATCCGTTCGGAATGAATAACAGTTGGCTACAGTAGATATAACAGAAATAAAGACGAAGGTCACTGGGCAGTTAGTGAGTGTGATGCTTTCAGTTAGGCTACAACACCTAATATATATCAAGATAGATTAAGTAAACAGTTTAGAAAAATCAGAATCTCTACCCATCCTGTCTGTTAACCACGGTAATTACAGCGTGAAAAGTTTCTGCGAGTTCAAATTGTCTGTATTTCCAACGTTGGATATCTCAGATACCATATACTCATTAAAATATTCGATCATTATACACTTCTCGATCGAAAAATCATATAATATTTCCTCCCTTTTTACAGTACGAGAAACATCTTCAACAATAGCACAAGAAGTCGCTACATCAGACGCTTTAGTCGCTGTAGGGACAGGCGCTAACGCATCAGTTCGTTTGTATGAGTTAGCAAATCGTCAGAAAGGTTGTGTTGCACAGCTTACGCTTCCAAGTGCCAATGGACGTTTAGAATCCTGTGCTTTCCCAGAAGAAGTACCTATCGCATTTTCCAAAGAAATTCAACTGATTGATGTGCCCAGAAGTTGTGTCTCTAATTTTAGAGATTATGGGCTTTTTGCTGGCAGTCAGCATGGTGAATTAACTTCCTGGGATATACGGCAAACTAGAGGACCATTGTGGGAACTTACATGTAAGTGATTTGTAGTGTTTTGTTTAAGGAAATGGATTCATGAAGGTTAGGAAGTAAAGATTGTTTTCACTAAACTGATCCGTTTCGTCTCTTCTGTACAGATGAAAAAGGTTCTGTTCAACATATACGTGTATGCAGGAGACCAAATTGTCAATATCTGCTAGTAGTAGTCTGTCGAAGTGACGGTCGCACGCTCATCTATCCCTATGATCCAGCAGTGGCACAGGGTGACACCCCTATGTCCACTAGTCTTGAACTGACTGGAGTGAATTGTGAACCTATATGTGGACTCTCAATGGTGTATCAACCATCTGGAGAACTGAGTGTTTGGACTGCTGCTCGCGGTGGGACAGTTAACAAATATACAAAACTACTGGATGAAATAGCATTTAGAAGCATTTGAATAACCATGTTCATACTAGGGACTATCTCAAAAAACCAAGGAACACGTGATTTATACTTCGATATCCTTTTTAACTAAACTTACTCAAAACGTCCAATTGCTCTTATTTTTTTTAATTTCAAAGAAGTAATTATTCCTGTCATATTCCACAATACAGTTCTTTTTCTTCAAAAAATAGCATAAAATAAATAAGTTAACGATGATCAGCTTTCCCAGTACCACGTTTTCCTGAAAACAAATGTTTCGGTTTCAAGGTAGGAATATGACGATCTCCTTCTCCTTTGCGTGATAAAGTCACTTTCTTTCGTTGAGCTAATTTAGACATGCGCTTGACGGTATCGAACATCTTCTCGTCTCGTAGACCAGACTTAGACCTTGGTACCGAGGCACGTGCAATTGAAGCTTCACGATGCTTATTGGGTGTGGCGTTACGCGCTCTAGCTGCTTTCTTCATTGTTCGACCGCGCTCACCCTAAAAATAGGATAAGAAACATGACAGGTAAAAATATCAACAGCAGAAATGTATGCTCTTACTTCCCGCTACACCTGCGTAAAACAGTATAATCAACTGCATCTTGTAGTCCCAGTCAAAATAACAGTAATATCCATGATAATAAGACAATACACCAGTTCGTTAAGAGACATAAAATATTTCGGAAATGCACACTCGCCTAAGAGTCATTGTGGTTAAAAGATAGCGGTGAGTTCCAAAGGCAGTGATGCCTTTGAAGTGAAGACAGGCTGTCCACTATCACCCATGATCTTCCTGATTGTGGACGACTGGATCAGGCAACAGACAGTGAGGAGCGAAAAGAGGGGGTTAAGCTGGCTGGACCGCGGAAAAGAACCTAGAACCTTAGATTTCGTCGATAACTTATGTCTGATGTCACACAAACCTGAAGATCTACAAGCGAAAACTAACAAGCTGACAGAAGAGACGAGGCAGAGAAGACGGAACTTCAAGTAAATGTAGAGAAGACAGAGGTGATGATGATACCCAACGAACAACAAAAACAAGCTCCAACCATCATCAACGGAAGTAACCTCTTTCGCCCACCCTCCTAGGCAGCATCGTTTCAACTACAGGCAGCACAGATGAGGACGTCAAAGCCAGGATCAGAAAGACAGCAAGACAGACCTTCATTAACCTGAAATCAGTGTGGAGATCTACTGCACTCAGCATAAAGCGTGAACAACATCCGGATTTTCAACACTAACGTCAAGTCATTGCTTCTATATAGTTCATAAACTTGGCGCGTCACGAAAAGCATTCCCAACAAACTGCAGACATTCATCAACAGCTGTCTACGCTCGATACTGAAAATCAGATGGTCAGAATAATAAGAATAAGCAACAAAGAACTCTGGGAACGGACCAAGCAACAACCCATAGCCCAACAAATATGCAGTAGAAGAAAGTGGAGATGGATTGGACTGGACACACTGAGGAGACCATTCGGAGACATCACACGCCAGGCCATGCACTCGAGTGGAACCCAGATGGGAAACGGCGAGTTGGGCGTCCGAGGCAAGGGTGACATGGAGGAGATGGTGTGAGGAAAAACTGAGAGCTTGTGAGCAGTCGTGGAACCAGGTTCAAATGATCGCAGAGAACAGAGTGGAATGGAGACGCGCTACTGAAGCCCTATTTTCCACTAGGAATCCAAGGGACAAATAATAACAGTAGTGAGTTACAAGTTAAGAACCGACTGACAAAGCTGGTGACGTGTATATCATATTTCTTACCTTATGCAAATACACCACACAACCAGGTCTAAATTTGAGATATGATGGTGAATTCTTTGAAGCAAATCACCGTCGTGTCACTTGTCGAAATAAGTAACATGATGAGCACTTGAAAGGATGGGTGCGTTAGGCAAGATTCTGACAATTCATCATTCCAAAACGAATTCATTTTGATGTTACGATCAATGAGTGTATGAATCCGCTTTATCGAAACTTAGGGTTTTGGGAGATGTAATCTGAATCATACTCCTTTCCAGTTAAGCAGTATAATTCTGCCCATAGTATGACTTCACTAGATAGATAAATTATCGTGGGACCTGGCATAGAAGTGCATCACAGTTCAAGTACTACTCCGTTCCTCATTTATGTTTCAGCTGCTTTCGTCCGTGATCAGAATCTGCTTGAATCGGTCTTCCTGCATCAATCAGTGCGGAAATCCATTAACGTTTGCTAATCATTTGATGTAGGTTACAAACAATTTTCAACATTGTTCCTACACCACGGTAGCAATAAAGGAACCTAACGTAGGCATTCTGTTAAGTTTAAAGAAGTAACTACATTACTTCATGTGTAGTTCAAGACACTCGATTCATGGAATTCAAAATTGTGCAGTTGCTATCCGTGTGCAACAGACTGTGAAGTAAACAAATGCTTCTCTTTTCTGAATAAAGTGACCATAATCCTATTTCAGCAGCAGACAAAACGACGAGGATTGATTTGACTGGAGTTGTCATTTTGGATGTTCATTCTGACTTTGTGTTGGCAAGATGCGTTTCCGAATAGCTCAGCCTTTCTACTTGAGTGCTGAAGTCACCTACCATTACAACTATATCTGAACTTTTAACTTTATGTAAGGAAATTGACATCTTTTAGTAGAACTCATCCTTTGCATCATCTGAGCTGCAGCCGATGGGTGCGTAGGTGTAGATTGCGAATGGACATCAACGCATGTTGTAGTGTTTTCTAGTTGTTACAGATTGATTCAGTTGGACACCTCACAGGCGGATGTGAACTGGTTTCTAGTCAAGAAGTGCACTTTTGTTAGACATTTTATTGCTATGCCTACATCAGCGGGTTCACGAGAACTAGCTATTGGATCTTTGGACATTTGTAAAGTGAGTTTTGAAGATTCACCAAACTGGCTAGGTAACGTCAAGTTAACAGCCATACTCGTTTTAGAAACAGAATACACACGTGGCTCAAAATCTCAGCAGAAGTTGTCCGATTTGGCATAAGGTTTGGAAGCTGGAAGCCCCAGTGTGAAACCTACAGCGAGGTTTTAGAAGACTGGGTGTCGTGTTACGCTGGCTTGGATGGTTGGCAGTAGTCGCAAAATGGGGTAGTTCTAAGAGGCTTAATATTGTCACTAGGAAATGAAGGTGAGAAAGGAAACAAAGGTAGGATATAGTTTTCTCGGTTTTCGATGCTGCTGAATGTGTGCCAGCGATTGGTACTTACCGACCATCGAAGTTGTTTCTGCAGGGTACCTGAAAGTGAAGAAGCAAAGGATTTGCGTGACCGTAAGCCCCATGGGACATCTGTTTGTGGTCTGTCAGTTTTTTTTAGGATTGTTAGTTCGCAATTTCTTTGTTCTGACAGCGACGCTGGAAGACCACGGATGTGCTATTTTTGTGACCAACTTTTTCGAAGCCTCTTCTCCCTAGGGAATTATTCATGGTAGCAACTGACTGAAATACTTAAGACCAAACATTTAAACTGATAAATTCGGAAAAACTGACTCACCGCTTCATGCATGTCCACTTCCAAACCAAGTGCTCCAAGGTCTTGATGAATTTTGTGTGCACTGACGGAACGAACACTACGCGGTACTTGTGGTCGTCGTACTTGTTTACGTGCTCGAGATTCCAAAACACGTAAAGCTCGTGCTTCTCTAATCCTACAATAAATGTTAGTTATTTATAATCAGCGTTGAATTACCTCATAGGATAGAAAACCTTATCGTCAATAAAGTGATACAATCATTTTGTGCAGGTTTATAATAAGAAAAACCGAGAAAGCTTTTGATTCGAAATGGAAATGCACCTAGCAGCCTTGTGCGCACTGGTGCTGCGGGTAATGAGCCACATCTACTGTGTGAGGGCTAGTGATACTAACTGGTTACCCATACCTCACTAGGCGGAGCGGAGATCGAACCCCTGACTCATTGGTTGAAAGTCATCTCCCTAAACCAATGACTGAGTAATCGTGAATCAGTAAGTCTGCAGACTAAGTTATCAATCAGAGTATCACAAGCTGAAACACACTTCACGCGTAATAAGCCAAAGTATCAAACGAAGGTGTAGGAACCAGCATCTATGTAGATGCCGTACACATACAGTTATATGATATTATTATTTGTCCTTTGGGTTCCTAGTGGAAAATAGGGCTTCAGTAGCGCGTCTCCATTCCACTCTGTTCTCTGCGATCATTTGAACCTGGTTCCACGACTGCTCACAAGCTCTCAGTTTTTCCTCACACCATCTCCTCCATGTCACCCTTGCCTCGGACGCCCAACTCGCCGTTTCCCATCTGGGTTCCACTCGAGTGCATGGCCTGGCGTGTGATGTCTCCGAATGGTCTCCTCAGTGTGTCCAGTCCAATCCATCTCCACTTTCTTCTACTGCATATTTGTTGGGCTATGGGTTGTTGCTTGGTCCGTTCCCAGAGTTCTTTGTTGCTTATTCTTATTATTCTGACCATCTGATTTTCAGTATCGAGCGTAGACAGCTGTTGATGAATGTCTGCAGTTTGTTGGGAATGCTTTTCGTGACGCGCCAAGTTTATGAACTATATAGAAGCAATGACTTGACGTTAGTGTTGAAAATCCGGATGTTGTTCACGCTTTATGCTGAGTGCAGTAGATCTCCACACTGATTTCAGGTTAATGAAGGTCTGTCTTGCTGTCTTTCTGATCCTGGCTTTGACGTCCTCATCTGTGCTGCCTGTAGTTGAAACGATGCTGCCTAGTTTAATTATCAAACGAAGCTGTACGAATCACCCGACCGATAGCTGCTACCTTGACGTGGTGGTCCGCCTTGCATATCACAACGACCCAATGAGCTATGCTGGTGGAACGCCCTTTCCCTCGAGGTCCTACCGTACAGAAAGGTCTGTTGGATAGTGGTTAGACGAAAAGCAGTTACCGTTATAGTGTAAATTGCTACACTATGATGGGAGTCTGGGGGCGAAGTCGTACTGCTGCTAGCTGGACGGGGTGTGACAGCAGTAAGGTGTTTCCCTTGGATGACCAGCAGTGTCATGCTGATGCTGCCTTCTTAGTGGGAGGAGGGGGGTTTAGAAAAGGTCGGCCCCAAAAATAATACACTCCACCATGCCCCACGGTCTGCTGGGCCGGCGGTGTTGGTTCACTTGTCGTTTCCTTTCGATCATCCGGCCCCAAAAATACAAAAGTTCAAAATAATCATACTCAAAAGGCTATGTGTAACAGGCCTCAAGCAGATGTCCGATGGGCTCTGCGGTCACACAAATCTCTTCTTTCAGGTACCTTAAGAAGAAATAGCTTTCCACGGTGTGGGCAGCCGGAAAGTGTCAACCGCCCTCACAACTCTGTCAGCACTCAAGTTTCTTCTGACCGTTATCCACTCCCTCCATCATTACCTTCTAATCTTCCTTCATGTCTCTTAATTAATGATGCTGCATCATCTTCAATTTCTCCTACCTCTGCAGCCTTCGACAACGATCTGATTCCACAGAACAGCATCACTGGTCTCCTTAAACCACGCTCCAAATTACATATTGGAGCCTTCAATGTCCGCACCCTCCGTCAAATTGGTCAACAGGCTTCGTTGGCAAATGCTCTCTCTAGCAACACGGACCATGGATGTACGCTGTGTTTGTGAGACACGCACACAGGACCCAAGTTCGGTTATTCACCTGACCTCTCCTGACCAATCTGGTGAATCCGCGAAATTCACCCTTTGAGTTTCTGGAGATTCGATAGCTAGCTCTCGTGGTCTTGCAGGTGTAGGTATAACCCTAACCTCCTCTCGAAAGCCAAACGTTCGGACGTGGTGGTTGTTGCAGGTGACCTCAACGCACAGGTGGGTAGACTGAGTGAGGCAGAAAGGCACTTAGGTGGCACTTTCGGAATCCCAGCTGAACGTACAGATAACGGTGATCGCCTATTACAACTATGCTCAGATAACCGCCTATTTTTAGCCAGCACAAATTTCAGACATAAAGAAAGGCACTGTCTGACCTGGCGTCCACCGAGCTCGACTCAGCGATGGACACAGATAGACCACATTGCTATTAGTCATCGCTGGAGAGGATCGGTGGAAGACTGCCGCTCCTTCTGGAGTACGTGTTTGGACAGCGATCATGCGTTGGTCCGAGCACGTATATGCCTGCGTCTCAATGGACGTAGAAAAAATTTGGCAACAAAACCACTACGAGTTCTGCTGGACAACGAAAACACCAAAGCCGTGTTCAGTGAGAAGTTGGCTAGGCAGTTATCGGAACAAAAGACTGTCACTCATCCAGAAGAAGCTTGGTGCCATCTTCAGTCTACTGTAAAAGCAGCACTGGAGACTGTAGCCGACTCCAAGATAATGGCTAAAAAGAGCCAGTGGATATCAGCAGCTTCTTCCAAACTAATGGATGCACGTGAATGCATCCCTGCAGGCTCTGAGTACAATGAAGAGCGAGCGCAACTTAAAAATAACTGACGAAAAGTCTGCGCAACGATCGTGAACAGTGGTGGGCAGCAAAGGCTAAAGAGATGGAAAAGGCAGCGGCGATCGGTAACAGTAGACAGTTATTTAGACTTATTAAGGAGACTGGGGGGAAATGGTCAACAACAGTTAGTGAGGTTATAGCGGAGAAGGACGGATCTGCGATTCACTCGCAGGGAAGGCGACTGGGACGATGGGCAGAACACTTTGAGGAACAGTTTAACTGGCCTCCAGCCACCATTGCGCTGCCCGCTATCCAGTCGGACCCTGAATGGGACATAGAGACAGGTCCCCCAACACTAGAAGAAGTTGAGAAAGCGGTAGGTAGCCTGAAACGGGAAGGGCAGCAGGACCAGACGGACTACCTGCTGAGGTATACAAGAATGGTGGTAGAGTTCTCTTAGTCAGGCTAACGGAAGTGTTAGCCAGTATATGGGAATCAAATACGATCCCCTCCGACTGGTCTAAGTCACTCATCATCCCAGTCTTCAAGAAAGGCGAGAAGTCCTCTTGTGATAACCACAGAGGAATCAGCCTGACAAACATAGTGTCTAAGATCCTAAGTTCTATAATTCTCCGACGCCTGAGTGGAGCTCGGGAACAGCAAGCCCGAGAAAACCAGGCAGGCTTTAGACCTGGCCGTGGATGTATCGACCAAATATTCACACTGCGCCAGGTCCTGGAACATAGGCATGCTTACAGACGCCCGACAATAGCTGTATTTCTCGACCTGAAGGCGGCATTTGACTCCGTTGATCGAGAAGTCTTATGGCAGTGTCTGTCACTGAAAGGCGTGCCTAGTAAGTACATCACCTTATTGAAAGCTCTCTACTCGAACACTTGTGGGCATGTTAGAGCCTATGGTGAGTTGTCCAGGGAGCTATACTCATCAAGTGGTGTCCGTCAAGGATGCCCACTATCCCCATTCTTATTTAATTTTATCATAGATATTCTTATGGAGGTTTCCCTCTCGTCACCTAATTACAAAGACGTTGACCCGATCACAGGTGAATTTTCCTTAGATCTAGAATATGCAGATGACATAGTCCTGTTAGGTGAAGACGCTGACAAGATGCAGAGTCTTCTGAACACTTTGAGTGGGAATTTGAGAATGTTTGGGATGCGATTTTCACCACCCAAATGCAAATTTTTGCTCCAGGACTGGTCTTCAGCGGTACCGCGGTTAACAATAGAGAGTGAAGTGGTTGAGTGTGTTGACCACTTCACTTACCTGGGAAGTAGGATCAACCCGGTGGGTTAGTTGCCGATGAGATTTCTGCACGGATACAAAAGGCTCGATTGGCTTTTGCCAATTTGCGCCACCTATGGCGCCGCCGTGATATTCGTTTGTCTATTAAGGGTCGCGTGTACTGCACAGCAGTCCGCTCTGTTCTACTGTATGGCTGTGAAACATGGCCATTGAAAGTGGAAGATATGAAAAGGGTTCAGGTGTTTGACCACCGTTGCCTTCGTAGTATAGGACGTATTCCGTGGTGTCACCATGTGAGTAATGCAGAAGTTAGGTGTAGAGTTTTAGGGAGAAGAGGTAAGTCAGTCGACGAGGTTGTGAACCTTCATCGACTGAGATGGTTGGGACACGTACTACGTATGCCTAGTCACCGATTGCCTCGTCACACAATGTTGGCTGAGGTGGGTTCAGGCTGGAAAAAGGCCCGAGGTGGCCAGACTAAAACATGGCACCAATGTATGAAGTCTCTGACTGTTGGTTTAAGCCATGTAGGACGATGCAGACTAGGTGGTTGGGGTCCACGGGACAAGAGGAACCAGTGGTTGGAGACCCTAGGTGATATGGCTCAGAACCGAAGTCAGTGGCGCAGATGTATACACACATTATCCTCATCTTAACAACGCTATACCGAATCTCACTATTTTGTCACTCCTCTTTCCTTTCTTCTCGTACTTTATATTTCTTTTGACTGCATTCACTTATCTTCATCCTTCACCTCACTACCTTTTTACTTGATGTGCTGATATGAGGTGTGGCAACTCGGACCGTTACGCAGTAATGCCTGGTCCTATGTTGATAATGATGATGATGTACGAATCAGCATTTAAGTAGATGCCGTACATATTCGGCTATATGATATAAACATGAATTGTTCAACGGCTAGCGATATTACCCATGGGCGTATATTTGTGAAAATGTGTGCATCGCGACATGAAAATGCAAAGTATTTGTGCAAGATTGGAAGAACATTATGGCTGCACTCACTCCCTGTTGGTAAATAGCCGTTAGAAGTAACCATAAAGTACGGGTAGTTCTATGGGGGCTAGTTGTGTAGCCGATACGATCATACTTTCAAAGCAAAAATGGCAAACATCAAACATGGTCACCGTTAACATCATCATGACGGCAGTCTAGTTGTTAAGTGCATACACACTTGGGGCTTGGTTTCAATTAGATGAGAATTTCTTGTCACCACGACGACTGCTTTTATCCAGTGGTAACATAATGACAATTACTCCGAGGTCCAATAGTGCATGAAGATGAAAATTGTCATTTAATAAATGAAGTCATCTTGAAACGAAGACTTTATTCATTGGATCGTGTTAGTTATATCGTCTCAGCGACTACTAAACAATTCAATGGTCGCTGATCGTGAGACCGGTCAGAAAAAGTCGACAAGCAACTTGTGTATAACGCGGTGCCAAGGCGTGAAGAATAGTTTCACGATCTTAATCATTATTTTTTTTTCATCAATGAACAATTTTATTTTAAACTCAGTAGTACACTGGGTTAGAATGGCTTGGTGCGTATGATGTACCCAAATGTTATTCATTAAAATAGATGAATAATGAACGTTGAATAAGGTTCAAACTCGTGGCTTATTAGCTGAAAGTTAATCATCAAAAGTATTGAAACCACAACTTTCTAATAATGGTAATAATCGACACATCGTGTTTTCAGTACGGTGGGTAGCAGGGCTGTTACTCCAAGAAAGTAACTTGGTTAGAAACCACTTTTCATTGTCTAATACAACTTGATCTTTCTTCGAAGCCACACAGATGGAACAGAAAATAGAATGAAGCGACAAACTTAAAAGAACGGTAACAATCATGAAGACACAAGAGCCACAGGAAAACCAACAGCACAAAAGTGCTATGATTCCAACAGAGACAGCTTTAGTCTCCTGAATATAATCATCACAATAGTCGCATGAAACTTCTCATGACACATCCAAAGGTGAAATATGGCCAGAAAGTTGGAAACGTTCATTTGTCTCTGCTAACGAGAATCATTCAACTTCTGTTAGCAGATATCCAACAAACTATCAAAGTACGAGTATACTGCACTGCAGTCCCTTTTGTCCTGTTTCACGGGCGAGACGAAGCGATTAAAGAGTTTAGATCATAGATTTTTTCGTAGCATTGCTCGTATTTAGTGGAATCACCGTGTGAGCAATGCTGAAGTCAGGCGAAGGATACTAAGTAAGTCAATTGATGAGATCATGAGCCATAGTCAACTGAGATTATTTGGAAAGGTGTTGCGCATTCTCAGCCACTGCCTACTTCGACGTGCCATGCGACGGGAAGGTGGATTAGGTTGGAAGAGGGTCCAGAATGACTAGTCTATGAAGTCGTTTACTGTTGATCGGAGTGGTGGGGAGAGATGTAGACTGCCTGGTTGGGGTCCACGGGACGACAGGAATCAGTGGTTGAGAATCCCTGGTGGCATGGCTGAAGGTCAGTCACAATGGTACAGATGTATTCACTCCGTGACTTCTTTTAAAGCTTGAACATTCGCACTAACTGTTATCTTCCAAATTGTTTATTCTCTCACATAACTTTGTCTACTTTGATATCACTCTCCTACTGTTCACCTCTTGTGTACTACTGTGAATTACGGCAACTTGAGGTGATGCCCCTATGTGCGAGGTTCTACGTTGATTTATCGGTCATTGTAGTCAGTCATGCCACTAAAATCTATCGTCTCAACGAATATAATCAGTTTGGATCAATATTTTATTCATATTGCAAGTGTGATAAGCAACGAAGCTTCATATGACACAGACTTAATTCTTTAGGTACCTTATCACTGACAAGATCTTACTCAGTATTTTCGTTTGCTGAACTGGTATCAGTGGGTTAGTTTGGAAATTCTTTATGGAATCTTGTGTATAATATTATGGGTATTATTTTCTGGTAAGTTGGGGAATGAACAACACTAACTACTACAATGACAGTGCTGATAACTATAATATTAATACGAACACATACTTTGCTGCAGTAACTCTTATCTTCTTCATTTCTGGGTCATTTTCATCTTTATGCCATTCAGAATCATCGTAGAATCCAGCATCTTCTAATGCAGCCTCTTGTTCTTCTAAAGCGTTCAATTTTTCTTCAATTTCAGGATCGAAAAGATCGATAAGGTTATGTCCATTCAAAATTTCTGGAATAACATCATTTGCCTCTTCAGGGTGTGTTATACGCCAATGTTCTCTAAGATTCAATATGAAGCCTTCATCTGGATCAGCCTCCAACTCACGATCACGCATTGTACGACGGCGCTTTGATGGATCAGTATCTTCTTCAGTAGGCTGTATTAGGTCAGCTCGAAGTGCAGCAGAGGCATGAAGACGTTTCATAACACGCTTTCTTTGCTTAGCAAGAACACCATCAGGAACAATAGGTGGACGATCGGGGATCTCAGCCTGCAGTAGAATTAATTGATAACAAATATATCATATACAGACAGAATAAGGTACTTTAAGTAGCAAGTATATAACGTATAAGTAGACTTCCTGATTGCTGCTTTAAAAATAGTAATAGTGGCAGTTAGAGATCCTGAATGATAGCTGGTCAAATCTGAAATAAAATGAAATTTCTCATCATTCTAGTAATCAGTGAGTGCATGGATATTCACCATAGTGAAAATTCGACTGACATGTAACTATGAAGTTGAGGAAGAAACATGAATGTCATACTTGTTCATACTTTGCATATGTGACTTGAAATTATCCGCGATGCGTAAGGTAGTATCACATCCGCTTACAGCATTTACCAGGCTTACAATTCATCAGTGAACGATAAGTTAAATAAACATGCAGTGATGCAGATCATGCCAACATCTTATGACTGTTGAATTACATCAACTGTCTTAATAGTTGAAGAACATGGCTTACCATTACTTACTGGATCTTTTTAAATCTTACCAGAGTCACAAACGCTAAATTCCTAACTACCAAATGAAAATGCTATAAATTTACCACACCTAACAATATTCAACTAGTAGAGTTTGACTGGATAATACCGATTGCAATGCAATTTTTCAACCGGACGACAGATGGGCTGAATTTCATCTTACTTTGATCGAAACAACTCACAGTAGCTTGATAGATAGCTGGACTAGATAAACACTCCTTGTTAGTAGTAAAACGTCTCACCTGCAAGTAATTTTTCTGCAGAAACTTTGGAGAGTATAGTCACTAAGATATATTTTAAAATATCAGATAAACAAGTGAATATCCAAACTTACTCGTTACTCTACAATTGGTTAGATTACACTACGGAAATGTCTTATGTATCGACATCCTAGTAATGGCGACATACCTGATAGCCGACTGAGGGTCATGTGTACTGCGCTGGAGTTTGCTCTTTTCTTCTATGTAGTTGTAAAACATGGCCTTCATAGTATAAACCGTATGTTGTGGTGTAACCACGTCAGCAGTGCAGGAATCAGGTGTACAGTTTTACGTAGAAGAGAAAAGTCAGCTGGTGGGGTTGTAAACTCACTAACTCAGATGACCGAGACATGCGTTACGCATGCCTAGTCACCGCCTGCTTCGTCGGTGAAGTGGGTTCCGACTGAAGAGAGGTTAGAGGCGACCAAAACTAAAACGTGGCATCATACCACGAAATCTCTGATTGTTGATCACAGCCATGTAGAAAAGTGTAGACTGCATTGTTGGAGTACGTGTGACAACCTTAGTCGGTGATAGATGGAGATTAGGTGATATGGTTGAGAATTGATGTCAGTGACACATGTATATCCACGAATTATGTTCATCTTAATCCATGTACTTAATTCAGTATTTTTTTCATTTCGACCTACTATCTTCATGACTGTCGATCATTTTTGACTGCTTTTTTCGCTGTTTTAACTTGATGCTTACAACATCAAGGTGGTGATATGAAATACGGCAACTTAAAACGTTACGCAGTAATGTCAGATCACAAGTTAATACTGACTGATTGACTAGTGGTTGCAGACCTCTATCAGGCAGGAGAACTTAATAAGCAAAAAATGTCTATGTATGGTTAGTCTTTTATCAGTTTAATGGAGATGATGGTGATTAGAGATATACTGGATGTTAAGTGCTTTTTCCAAGACAAGAAACTACTGCACAAACCTGATGTCAGGTGTAGAAAACAGCAGTGTTAAACAGTAATACGAAGTGTCATTTCGGTAGTGACTGGTACTCCTCTCTGTCATAACAGCTAGCTAACAGTCTCATATAAGCACAAATGTTTTTTGGAGTGTATGAGTAGGTGGTGCTGGTTACATGTCAATCTTGTGAACAACCAGCACAATGTTACATGTACACACAAAAAAGCCTCACGTATGAAGCGCACACTTCAAGTGATTAGCTCAAAAGGTTTTCATAGATATGAAGTTTACTTTCTCACCTTGTCTCCATCACATTTCGGTTTTGCTATATACAATCGACTAGAAATATCAAGATTACTACCAGGAACAGCTGCAGAACGAATCTTCGCCTGAACACGTTGAGCCAACAGATCATCGCAAGCAACCGAACGAACAGCTACTAAACCGACTTCTGTAACAGTGGACATCTCTACAAAGAAAGGTCTATCTGGATCTCTTCTGCTGTCTTGTCCTTCAACGGGTAGATATGCAATATTCTGAATAGCAAATTTGTCTTCTTCAGATAGTGCCTCAAATGGTCGAATATCAACCTGTAAATATAGTTTAAGACAACATATGGACACATTAAAACTCTTATCGAACTAATTAAACCTCACCACAAGAAATATTTTACACTTTTGAGTCGTAACATTACTGTATAAAAAGGAGCAAAAATACTCACTTTTTATTGTACAAAGATATTACCGAGTAATAAAAACATGAGTTTACATGGAACTTGGCACACTAAACTTGATGCGACAATAATACCTCATAACTCCAAAAAAACCCTATGACCTCAGAGTTACGACCAAGTTTTGGAGTGTACATTCAACTACGCGCTAAACACCGAAACTCAAACCTCAAAAAGGAGCACAATAGGGCCTAATAATAGGCAACATTCTTGTTTGCGTAACGCTTCATATCTCAAGTAAATTCACCAAGATAGTAAGTAAAAAGTGTATAGACGAAGAAACAGAAACACCATGGTAGAAGATCCTGGGAATTCGTAAGATAGCAATAAGGCGAGGAAATAAGGCAAACAACTTAAGATGACAACATGATAATGAAGATAGGACATGAATGCACCTTTATAAGTCGAAGCAATAAGGATCCGGATAGGCAGTCCGTACTATTACTAACAAAAACTTCACAGTTGTTTTGTTTAGACCACCAGTAAAATTCTTTCAAATTGAGTCTACTACATATTAAATTAGTCTATTTGACATGGCATTATTTACTAGACGGCGTTTCGAGTAGAATTTATTGCTTATAACCATGAAAAGGTATTTAGGCAACTTTCTGATCTAGTTTAATGGTTGCATTGTCTTTCATTCTTTGGTTTATTTGATGGCAAGATTTTCCGAACATTCGGAATTGATGTCGCGTCATTTCGACTACACGTGTTAGGTACTGAATAAATAAACAGATTCAGTGTCCAACTGCTCTCCACTTTAACTACATTATACTCTCTTGGGTTGTGTAACCCTTCCCCACCCTTTTGTGTGGTTAAATTTTTCGTGAGAATAATCCCCTCAACAGGGTATATCAATCTAGACTTCGCTAGGTTTTTATGCCCCACTAAGCTGACTGATCCTGTTCGACTTGTTTGACCTGAAGTTATCTAGTAAATAATAACAAATCAAATCACATTGTACTATATTCAACAGACTAATTTAATATGGAATTACATTCTACCAGTGTTCCAATCCCACTATTCTACTTAAATTAGCATAACAGTGTAGTTATCTTGGTCACTTCAACTTTATAATTCGACAAAAAGACTTTGATTTATGAGTAAAAGCTTTACATTTAACATTAAACACTGTTTACTATACGGCTATAGCATACACCAGTGATAATATGAAGACATATATAAGTGAATACTATGTGATGGTTAAACAAACAAACTAATATAATAATAAACATTTTGTCATGATTCAAAGTGATTTTATCACTGAATCAATTCATTATAGCTTCGATGCAAAAGTTACTGTACAATGCGTGCACAGAACTGATCGGCGAAGCAAACTAACCTTTATGTCAAATAGTCAACAGTTCTATCACGTCATATAATCCATATGTCTGAAATTTACTGAAAAGATTTCAGTAGCATTAGTATAGTGCGTGCACAACTCAGTTTAGTGTGTTTGTTGAGTTACATGTTGCTAAAGCTTTGCAAATGTGTAGTGGATAATGTCTTAGTCATTGGAGTGGGTGAGGAGACGAACAAAGACGCTTGAGTACAGACAGTTATAGACTTTAAAAAGACAAGCGAGTATTCGGCAATAAACGGTGTTAGGACTGAGATAGATACTTACGCACAAAGTTACTGGAAACGAAAAATAGTTTTTTACCTTATTAGCAGCGATGACAAGTGGCTTGTTTCGGAAAAGGGGTCTCAAGTTTTGAAATAGCGTTAATTGTTGTTGTATAGTGTAACCACATTGTTCAGACAGATCCATTATGTAAATTACAGCAGCTTGTAGATGTGCAAGTGCTGTAATAGACAGCATTTCAATGGTATTATGTTCATCCAATGGTCTGTTCAGTACACCAGGTGTATCAATTACTTGCCATCGTAAATTTTTATAATCTGTATGTCCAACAAACAAAGACTTAGTTGTGAATGGAAACGGCTGGACATCAACATCAGCTCGAGTTATCTAGATAGTAGAATATGATAAAACTTGCAATTAAAATGGACAAATAAAAAGGCAATGGTCATCAAACATATCAAAAGTCACCTGAAGTCATTTCTTGAATGCCTGCCGATATATCAGAAAAACGTCTAACCTAATACATTTCTAACTTGGAGAGAATATGGTTCCAAAAAAACTGTTTCACTGCGTGATCATTCTAATAAACTGGCTAAAATAGAAGTTTGTGACTGTTCGTTTGAGTCAAGTGCGAAGATACAGATTACCTGACTGGGGTCCCTGAGACAATTGGAATTAGTGGTTGAGAAAACTTGGTGACATGGCTGAAAGTCGATCACAATGGTGCAGACGTATTCACACCTTGACTTCTTTCAAAGCTTGAATAATTCCACCAATCTCTATCTTTGAGTTGTTTATTTCCTCATACAATTTAGAGATGAAGGTCATCTACGCACATTTCAGATATAAATAAACAGGCTGTTAACCTGTGGAAGCTGGGGCCTAACAACGTAGATAATTGTATAACTAAGCAGACAGAAGATGGAGGCGATAACCCCTTTGGTGGTGGGACTTTCTTACACTCGATACTGACCAATGAAATGGGTCATAGTGAGTTACTATCTGAAGACAGCATCGCACTATTGACTGAGCATAATTCAGCGTCTCAAGAGACTGGGCAATATATAGAACTTTTACGAAGATTAGTGATCACGCCTACCACGTCATACAACCTAAGATAAAAGAAAATTGTGCACAAGGTAACTCAGGACTTCTAGAAAAAGCTAGGAGAACGACCAACCGTATTATCTACGTAATGATTAATGCGACCTATGAGAAAGGACTAAGTGGTCTGAAGCACCTCTTTTTTATTGTATTACAAATGGAAGGGGAATCTAACTATGCTGTATACGAAATAAAGAAGTGACTTTAGACCTTTCTTTTTCTTTTCCACAAAGGAACATGTCAACAGACAATAGGAGATAACAAAAACCAGGAATAAAAGTCGTTGCCATAGCTGACTGGTTTCCGCGTCCAGCAATGAACTTTTTGACTGACTCCCAGGAGTGGTGCTCATACCATCAAGTGAACCATTCAACAGAGGACTGAACAAGCATAAAGACTAATTAGAAAAGCTTAAACAGGATCATAGTCTTCTACCCTAAAACAAGTCTGAACGAATACATGGTTAGCGTCAGAGATAAAGCCTCGTAGGAAATCATAACGATAAGTATCGTTGATACGCTTAAGCCCTTCCTAATTTCAAATATTTTTAGCGAGTGATGAATAAAGCATACCACCAACACTACACAAGGTCTCACCTTATTTATAAAGCTGGACTTTCCAACATTCGGGAAACCACAAAGAATAAGTGTGCGTGTATCTGGGTCAATACATGGTAACCTTGACATGTGTTGCCGAGTGTCTTCCAAAACTTTAGGTTGTCTGACTGCCGCTTTATCACCGTACACATTCTAACTAAAATTAAGGTATGGCCTGTCTAACTTGCCTTCCAAGAGCTGCTCTTTTGAGTGTTTTACATTGGTATAGAGACTCAGCATACTTTAATATTTTAACCTGATCTCGTGCAATCCTAGAAAATCACATACAAGAAAACAGTCTTACCCATCGATTAAATTTTTGGCTGTGTTCAGCTGACTCAGTGCGAGTTTGTAGTGGTCTTTAGAGTAGAGGACATTGATGAGATCTGCGTAAAACGGGTGTATATTCTAAAGGACTATCCCGTGACACTGTTTACTTACTTCAACCTTAGGGAATTCCGACAGAATTGTCTGCAACTTGTCGTGATAAAATTGCTGACATGTTTTAACTTTGCGCATGTAAAAATGCCTAATACGTCCGATAGCATACTGAGGATGAATAACAGTAGGGGTTTTTCTTTGTGTTTTCGACAGAACTATGTCGATAAAATCTTTCGACGACGGTACAACCGTTATGCTTTTAAAATTATAACACGGCATGCCAGTGGTTTGTTAAGTCCACGACGACATGCACCTTCAAATTTGATGGGAATAAACAATATAACTCAATCTCAACATCAAACAATTAAAGAATTTGACTGTTTTCAAACGATGCTTCCCCCATTAACATCCGACATCAACAGTGCGAGCGTAGAGAACTAATGGTTTTTCATCTTTCGCCTCCAGTTCTTTGGGCCTGGATCTTGTAGTTCTGTTTGCTCATTCAGTGAACAAGGAAATCTCTTCTGCTTTCCTGCCTTTAGCTCCGTTGAGACAAATTTTGTAGGGTTGTTAATTGTAACCGTTAATTTGAAATGGTTTGGGAGATACTGGTTTCCGGAAAGATTAGAGGTCTCTCGTAACTCAGTCTGTATAGGTGCCTCATTGCGAAAAGCAAGATAGCGGGCATATTGGGATTACCCAAAAGGTAAAGGTGGACAGTATGGATCTAGTTGCTCAGGAAGAGTTAATAGATAATATAGGTGCGTCAATAAGAGAGATAGTGAGTGGTAAACAGGAGGGAAGTAGTGGTGGGCTACTGAAGTCAATAATGCCCTGAGAATCTCTGTGATATGCCATACGAAGTGACGCAACTGTCTAACCACCTTTTGAGTGGGTCCGCAGAGGGGATTGTGGCTAAATCCCGCAGTAAGGTGTTCCACAAGCGAATAGTCCTGAGGAGAAAAATTTAGATCTGGACCCGGTGTTGACTGTGTGCTCTGCTATCCCCATGGGGTTTCCACGTGATAACCGCGACTTTCTAGGCAAGGTTAATCTGTTTGTGTGACCTACCCAACGGATGATCTTGTAGGCCATAATAACGCCACCCCTCTTCAGGGTGTTTCAGTCTTGCAGGGTATCCCTTCCCTCACAGTCCCACAACTGATTTTGCTGTAGCTCTTTGAGATTTCGCAAGGAGGTTGGAGTCCCTCAGGAGTGTTGGGAATGTTACAGCTTTAAAGGCCCCCAGGTGTGAGCACACTTGAGGTTTAAGAATTGTAGGAGACGCCTCAGGCGCTAGAGTGCTGGGCCCTCCGGGCAGAAGGCGTAAAGTGGTGTTACCTTTGCCTTCCATTTCTTCGTGGTTAGAAAAGGCGTCCGGGAGGTTGGGTCTCAAATGTTTTTCTGTGGATACGTGAGTGGTGGCGCAGTTACTCAACTTACACTGGACTTCGGCTGTACTTGCTTTGTGGGTGCTAATGTGCACTACTTTGCATTTTTGCAGACTGCTGCTCAAGGCATTTACCGACAAATAGAGTTTTAGTGATGGATTGCTGTACAATCGGCCTCTTCGTTTGTTACTCCCCAAACCTTTATGTCATCAAAGGAGAGGATGATGGGTAGGTTTCGTGCAGCAGATCGTTGACGAGTGGGAGGAACAGAAGCGGTACCACGATTGATGCTTGGGATGCCTGTGGTGCCAGTGGTCTACGTTTCGGCTGTATTCTGTTTGATTTAATGCGGAACCGTCATCATTCTAGCCACACTTTGAGCCTAGAAAGCAAAGATCCGCCTGAGCTGGCCGACGATTTCGCACCGGAACCCTATCAAAAGCTTCGGCCGTGTCCAGAAACACAGCATGTACTGGTTTTTCGTTGTCCTAGCTCAAAGTTCGGTCGTCTTGGACAGCCGGCAAGCTGGTGGTACATGAACAGACGCTCCGAAAGCCGTGCTGAGCGGTACGGACGGCCTTTTCTCCGCTACGGAGTTCCCAGGTCTCGTCGGCTATAAGGCTTTCCAGTAATCCGGATAATATAGTGAGTAGGGCAGTTAGTCTGTGGCTGCCTGGACTTTTTATGTCTCCTCCCTTGTAGATGAGTGCCAAGGTCCCGCACTTCCATTCTTTGGGGAGCCAGCATGGTTCTAGAGAGCGCTTGAAGAGGTTGCAGGCTGATTTGCAAGGGCCTCGATGCAATTCCCTGCGACTACCACTCTCAGTTATCACAGCCAGAGAACCTGCCTGGACGGAAGCTCGGTAGTTTTTCTGAAAGGATTTTCTGTGTGACGGAGATACGGCGAAGGTATTCGCCGCTCACTGTCTGATCAGTGTCATGTCGCACCAGTGCAGACTTCGTTTTAGAAGTACTTAGTTGCCCTTCGAAGCGTGGACCCAGAGGCTCAACCATTTGTAGACTGCTTGGTACGACTTCACTGAGACCTGCGATAAGATTAACTCATTTTCCGCTAAATGTCCTCTTCTACATGAAGTGGTACAGGTTTTTAAGGTTACTTTTTAGCCTCCGCACCGGGTTCGCTTCCTAGCTAAACTGGTCTCTGACTTCCCAGGTCTCAGCGATCGTGAATTCTTTTGTATTTCGAGAAGTCGAACTCTGCGCTATGAACACCTTTCAAACCGGCCCTGCTATTTGGTCTGGCGTAGTCTCTCCATCCCACGCTTCAGCCCTGAGGTTCCCACTAGCTGCTGGTGTGCTACCTCTGGCACACTGTGAATGATGGCTCCGAGAATCACTCTCTGCCTGTGCCAAGTGTCCGTCTATCCTAAGGTTGGCCCAGGCTCCAGGCTATGGCCCACCCATGAAGTACTCTATCACGGTCTCTTAGTTGGCCGGTCCGTGGCAAGGGGCGGTGTTGGGTACCCCTGGTTGTCAAGGCGAAATTTATTGTCTCATGGTCACTGAGACTAAGAGGCGGTTGGGTAAACAAGTTTTCAACGAGATCATCGTTAGGGGGAAAGTAGTCCAGGCCCAATGCATATCTCTTAAGCCGCAAACGCATGGCATCGCCCACTTCCTTCTGGAAACCGTCAGTCTTAACTGCACCCTTCAGCTCCTTAGTAAAGGATCTGTTGGATCTTCCTTCCGTCTCGAAGAGGATGAACGGAGTGTCGAGGTTGCCGGTGATGATTAACGGGTCGCAATGTGCAAAGGAAGCCACCAAGATTGCCCCGATGGTCGTTTCCTCAGGGACGAAGTGACAGCATGAAGACTCCAAAGGCTGGGTGAAGACTGCCTCTCCAACCTCTCTTGTCTTTAAACCAAGGTTTATTTGAATAGCCACTCCGCCTTTAGCCCTGAGCTATCTCCTGATCTTGGCGTTTTGTCCATTTTTACTTTTTACTCCCCCCCCCGATGAAGAAGTTGCTTCTGTTTCCTCACTTCGGGTTCTGAGGGACTGACTGCTTGCTACGGGATTTGTACTCAATATTTTTGGGTCGGATACACAGCTACTGCTGAGATTTAGACATCCTAGCGCGATTTTTTGTGGATGGGCCTGGAGGCTTATGGAGTGTAATTAAATGAGGGAAGGACATGTTGATTATGGGCAGAGGATCTGGGGATAGCTAACATATACGCATGGATGCTAGAGGAGCGTAAGTCGTTACAAAGGGTAATGTCAATGTTGGTGGAAAACCACGCATAGCAACACCTTTAATTAGCTTCTTCACATTTGAAATCTCATGCTGTCAAAATAGTCAAAGTTGATCTGCTGCTGAAAAGGGTGTTAATATTTCTCGTTGTAGGGAGTCCATTACAACAAGTCACTTTATGAAAGTAATCCGAGTGTTAGTCCTCTGGTGGGCCATTCCAAGGCTTTGCCGTCATCGACGAAATTTGAGAACACTCATGGTCACTCCACAGACACAGCATGGCTTTCAACTGCCAACCGGCATGTTGGTCAGGTACATGGTGACGTGATCATTTTGAGTGAAGATACTTTACCGGACCCGGGTGGAATCCAAGTCTGTCTGTCAGGGAGAGACCTCGCTTCTCCCCGAGCACCTCCACAGGTTGGCCACACATTTTAAACCAGGGCCTGATGCCAAGACTTCAGAAATTAGGTCATGAACAACCTAGAGGAGAGTATTCAAGTATCACTAGTTCGATAAGTTCATTACATCGTCTTACTGGCGTTGCCGATTGCTGAGGTAGAATAAATGTTAAGTGCTTCAAACTTAGCTGGACTTTTGGTCAAGTCGACCACCAATATCTCATCAGTAGGTCGAAGTACTTGGAAACTAGTTCACCATGGATCTGGTGGCCATCATAAACAAGTGACTCCTTCCTTGAGGTAAAGGTGATTTCACTATGTACAAGGAAGCGACGCGCTCCATTTGTATCCCTCAGAGAGGGTCGGAGGGCCTCGTCTGTCCCTCGTTCGCATGACTAGCCTGCACCGGTGCCCTCTGAAATTTCCTCGGCTGATGACGCTGAGCTATGCAGAGACACTGGCAGGAAAATTGAAAGACTGACTTTGAAGTGTCATTTGACCAGACATTACTGTTGGGCGGATTAACACTGGTCAGCCGTAAGCTGTAGAAATGGTAACATGAGGCATCTTCATGATACTTGTCTCGCTTTCAAGTACATTGGCACAAGGATGAAGGTATATTTGGCCAGTTAGGATCTTGAAGTTTAAGTCATTCATCGCCCGAACCGCGAAGAAATCCATCCTGTGTGAATCAGGAGCTTGTAACCACGACAATATTTTAGACAATTCAATGGCCTGCTTTCCACCAAATCTTCTACGGCTTTATACGGTCTCACCCATAACTCGGAATGGTGGTCTTCCCCGCTTCTTTTTAAGATGACAAGGGTCATTCAGAACACATTTAGTGGTGCCGTAATAAATCACGTCGTGGACTGGGGTTCAAGCCATACGAAGAACACATGGCAGCAATTGGTGCGTATCTCTTGAATTTGGGAAGTTGAGAAGTGTCCAAATAGTGACGTGAGGTGCCTCAAATAATTCGGTCCACCCACTTCGTCATATGCCCAAGCCAAGTTTCACTATACATCTCGGGGGGAGACACCCAGAAGAATAAACTCGAAGATCCCAGAGTAGACATCCAGTATAGTGCTGGATCCTGAACAGTTATTGCGGCTTAGAGTTGTCTCATCGCCGCGGATGTTCAGACTAAACTAGAACAGTCCACGAATTGCAAAACTGGCGTCCAATCAAAGCGATGGATCTAGCTAACGGACCAAGCCACAATTAACCTACTCTCTCCCTTAATTACACCTTGTTATCTTCCACTGCCTCCGAAATACAGGAACCGGTGGTCCAGTGATAACATATATAGAAGTTACCAAAGCGAAAACAGCCTCAGTCACATCGCAAACCATCGGAAACTAATTGAAATTTCCTCGAA